CACACTCACCCCCGACGGACGGAGGACAGACAGACTCAGACTCAGCAACTAGGCTAGCGGTAGCAGTGCTGGCAGGGCAATGCTCACCAGTGGTCGGCGCGGCAGGCGCAAGACGGTGGCGACAGCGGGGCCGCTACAACTGCAGGGCGGGGCCGGGCCGCAGCAGGGAGCTCCGCGGCAGCTGCTGCAGGGCGAGGCCGGGCCGCGACGGTAGCTGCTCCAGGTGCCAGGGGCGGCTGCTGCAGCGGCGGCTGCTCCAGGGGCCAGGGGCGGCTGCTGCAGCGGTGGTTGCTCCAGGGGCCAGGGGCGGCTGCTGCAGGGGCGGCTGCTCCAGGGGCGAGGGGCGGCTCCTGCAGTGGCGGCTGCTCCAGTGGCCAGGGGCGGCTGCTCCAGAGGCCAGGCGCGGATTAGGTCAGGGCGACGCGGCGAGCAGGGCGACGCGGCGGGCAGGTGGCGACGCCGCGGGCAGGGCGACGCGGCGGGCAGGTGACGACGCCGCGGGCAGGGCGACGCGGCGAGCAGGTGATGACGCCGCGAGCAGGGCGACGCGGCGAGCAGGTGACGACGCCGCGAGCAGGGCGACGCCGCGAGCAGGTGGCGACGCCGCGGGCAGGGCGACGCGGCGAGCAGGTGACGACGCCGCGGGCAGGCGACAACGCCGCGGGCAGGCGACGACGCCGAGGGTAAGCGACGACGTCGCGGGCAGGGGCGACGTCGCGGGCAGGCGACGACGCCGCAGGCAGGCGACGACGCCGCGGGCAGGCGACGACGCCGCGGGCAGGGGCTACGTCGCGGGCAGGTGACGACGCCGCGGGCAGGCGGCGACGCCGCGGGCAGGGCGACGCGGCGGGCGGCGAGAGCCTGCAGGGGCGGCACGCGGTCGGGCAGAGGCTGCGCGCGGGCCTGACGAGTCTGCAGGGGCGGCTCTCGGGCCTGACGGGCCTGCAGAGGCGGCTCGGGGGGGGCCTGACGGGTCTGCAGAGGCGGCTCGGGGGCCTGACGGACCTGCAGGGGCGGCTCGAGGGCGCACGAGGGCGCTCGAGGGCGCACGAGGGCGCACGAGGGCGCACGAGGGCGCACGAGGGCGCACGAGGGCGCACGAGGGCGCACGAAGGCGCACGAGGGCGCATGAGGGCGCACGAAGGCGCACGAGGGCGCACGAGGGCGCACGAAGGCGCACTAGCAGAGAAAGGCGCACGAGGGCGCACGAGGGCGCACGAGGGCGCACGAAGGCGCACTAGCAGAGAAAGGCGCACGAGGGCGCACGTAAGGTAGGGCGCACGAGGGCGCTTCTAGCGGAATAGTGGGCCCATAGTAGAAAGCGGTCCTAGGTAGCAACCTAGGCTCGTGATACCATGTTAGAATCTAGAATAGAACGAGAATGCATGAAACTAGGTAGGAGGGGGATACAAGTAGGAAACCCTAACAAAGCTGTACCCCCTAAGGCTAAACCCACTATAGCCTACACAATATAAACATATAATGTTTGACAAGTACTGTCAGCTGTCTCAGCAGGGGCAGGAGCGAGGCCTAACGCATGGTCATACAGGGAGATATCCTCCTTAGCAGTGAGCTGGAGGAAGAGATGGAGGTCATCGAGCCAGGTGTCAAAACGGATCGGGCGGCCCTCAGCATCGAAGCTAGAACTGCAGGACTAGCCATAGTTTCAGTAGGAGCAGTAGGAACAGTAGGAACAGTAGGTACAGTAGTAGCAGTGTGACAGCACAGCGCGGCTCGGGCAGGGCGGCACGGCGCGGCTCGGGCAGGGCGGCGCGGCGCGGCTCGGGCAGGGCGGCGCGGCGCGGCTCGGGCAAGGCGGCGCGGCGCGGCTCGGGCAGGGCGGCGCGGCGGCTTGCTCCTGCGGCTGTGCGCGTGACTGTAGTTGCGCGGGCGGCTGCACTTGCAGCTGTGCGTGCAGCTGCCCGTGCGGTTGTGCGTGCGGCTGCGTTTGCGGCCGTGCGTGCGGCCTAGCGGGCGGCCGTGCGTGCGGTCGTGCGTGCGGCCGTGCGTGCGGTCGTGCGTGCGGCCGTGCGTGCGGTCGTGAGTGCGGCCGTGCGTCTGGTCGTGCGTGCGGCCGTGCGTGCGGTCGTGCGCGTGGCCGAGCGTGCAGCTGCGCGTGCGGCTGCGCTAGCTGCTGCGCGTGCTGTCGTACGTGCGGCTGCGCGTGCGGCCTATCGTGCGGCTGCGCGTGCGGCGGAGTAGGCGGCTGCGCGTGCGGCTGACGGGCGGCTCGCGCGGCTGTCCTATGGGCGCACTACGACGCTAGGAAGAGGGGCGCTCGACGGCGCGAGGAGGAGGAGGCGCATGACGGCGCTAGGAGAGGAGGCGCTCGACGGCGCTAGGAAGCGAGGCGCTCGACGGCGCGGCAGAACGGTGGGCCCTACCGAACGTGGGTCCTAGGTCCTAACCTAGGCGTCGGATACCATGTTAGAAGATAGTACTGCACGAGAATGAATGAACTAGCAAGAAGTTGGGTACAAGTAGGAAACCCTAAGTTTGTTGTACCCCCTATGACTAAACCTACTATAGCCTACACAATATATAAACATATAATGTTTGACACATCTTCGTGGTAGGGGAGAAGGTCTGGAAGAAGTCAACTCCCTCACGCTGACTGAAGCCTCGTGCAACGTAACGTGCCTTGAAGACAGGCAGAGAACCCGGCGGCCGCTTCACCCTGAAAATCCACATGCCACTGACGATGTTCGCCCTAGGCGGGGGAACCTCGTCGACGTAGGTGCCTGTGGACTTCCAGGAAGCCATCTCTGCGTCCATGGCTGACTGCCACTGAGAGGAGTAGGGACCCTCTATCGCCTCTGAGAGCGCGGGGTCGGGATGTCTGGTGCATCCGGGTCTCCCTCAGGGGCAATCAGCATGGACACGAGATGAGGTAAAGCAGCGGCAAAGCACTCAAACTCTTCCTGTCTGTCCTCAAGCCTCTATCGGAGGAAACTCGGAGGAGTGAGGAGCGGCGCGCTGCCGGCCCTCGACGCAGGGAACACAGGTAGGGGCAGGCCCCGGAGGAAGAGGAGGAAGGGAAGGGGGGAGACCAGAGACAAGGACACGGGAGGCCATGCCTCTGAGACGAGGCAGGGATTGGTGACCAAGGGGTTGGTGCCAAAGGAGAGTCTCGTGAGACAGGAGGCGACACGAGCAGGGGGCAGACTCAGGACCAGACCGGGACGCTGCAGCAAACACCTGACCCGACGCCGCTACCTGACCAGCCGCAGTGACAGGAGGAGACTCAGTGGTGAGGGTGTACAGGCTGGACCCTGGCCGACGGGTAAACGTGGCCAGGTGACGACCCGTCCGAGCACACGTGCAGTGTGTCACACGCTGATAGGCAGGGGTGAACTGGTGAACACCCCCATCCTGAAGATCCCGCCACCAAGTTCGTAGAGAACGAGGGGAGGTGAAGACCAGACAGCGAGCCGGACGGAGCCGCAGGACACGGGAGAACAGTGGAGGAACGGGCCACAACTGGTCCCCCAGAGGGGTCAGCCAGAGAGACTGCCACAGGCCGACTGAGCGGCGAGAGTGTGGTGCAGTCGCGAAAGAAAGTGCGGGAAGCACCCGAGTCAAGGGTGAAAGTGTGTAAGACCTGAGCCGACGCGGTACCTGAGAGAGCAGTCTCACCAGCACCTGGAGCAGTAGACGCACTAGCACCTAGCGCAGCAGCCTCAATGCCCGGGTCGGGCGGAACACACAGGTAACAGTCACCCTCAGCACTAATAGACATAGCATACATAGCAGCAAGGATAGCATCATAGTCAAGATCAAAGATAGCAACCCCCGACTTAAGCAGAATATCCCAGCGAGGGATCTCAGCAGAGCCAGGGAACTGTGTACGCCAGGCGTCAGACAGGCGGCCGAAGCAGCGAGGTGTGGTGTGCGGGCCGCCACACGTCTCTCCACTGCGGTCGCCGGTGCGAAGAACGTAAGTGCGGGGACCAGCACCCCCAGACCTCCCACGCCCAGCGTACCACTCACGGAGCTGCTGAGGCGATAGGGTCTCACGGGAGCGCTGCTGCTGCTGGCGCTGGTCACCGCTAGCGCCTCCCCGCTGCCCACCACCGCCCCCGCCACCCCCACCTCCGCCTCCGCCGCCGCCACCTCCACCCCTACTCCCGCTGCCTCCGCCGCCTCCACCTCCACCGCCGCCACCGAAGCCCCCACCCGAGCCACCACTCCCACCCCCACCTCCACCCCCACCCCCTCCGCCACCTCCACCGCCACCACCGCCGCCCCCGCCGCCCCCTCCACCCCCTTTGCCCCCCTTGCCCTTGCTGTTGCGGCGCCTCCCACTAGGAGCAGACGCAGCGCCGACCGACTCGGTGCCAACGAGGTCGACAGCAGCAGCAGAGGCAACAGAGGGCCAGAGGGGAGAGGGGGAGCACCCCTCAATGAAAGGGGCGCGAGGGTCACCACGAGAGGCCCCTACATCGACTATACTCTTCTCAGCTGCAAGGAGGCGCTCCTCGAGGAGGTCAATGGTGAGCGTGGTGGGGCAGAGGGAGAGGAAGTGGTCCTTGACCGAGCAAAGGGAGTCAGGGAGCCGGGTGACGAGGTAGTAGAGAGTGATGTACATAGGGGGGGGGTTCTTGGCGCAGAACTCGGCAGGAAGCGCAGCGCGGTAGCGGGTGTCACTAGTGCGGAGGTGCGTAATGAGGTCAGCGACTATGGCAAAAGCGGCTAGGTCAGGGAACAGGTACGGCAACATGAGGCGACTAAGGGCAGCAGTGGCAGGGGAGGAGTAGCGCGCAACAACAGCGTCGTACAGAGTCCTAGCGGTCTTGTACTGACTAAAGTGCGCGCGCTCAGCAGACGGCAGGTGACTACGAATAGCAAGGCGGGCAGCAGCATCGCGCGTGGTCCACTGCGAGCGAACAGCACTGTCAGCAGTGGCAGCAGGTGCAGCAGAGGCGCCAGACGTGAGATCAAAAAGCGAGACCTGATCTTTGCTCTCGCACTGCAGGAACAGCTGTAGATCATCGACCCAGACCTCAAAATCTACCGCTCGACCCTCAGCATCGAATTTGAGTACGTTGGGGGCAGCCATGACAGCAGTAGCAGGAGCAGTAAGAGTGGCGCGACTCGACAGGGCGGCGCGGCTAGGCAGGGCGGCTCGGCTAGGCAGGGCGGCGCGGTTCGGCGGTGCGCTTACCAGGGGCGGGTGGGTAGGGAGGCCGCTACTGGTGGGGCAGGGCTGTGGTGCGCCGGCAGGGTCGGGGCCGCAACTGGGCGGCAGGTCAGGGCCGCGGCTCGGCTGCAGGGCAGGGCCGGGGCAGAAGCAACGGCAGCGGCGGCGGCGGCTCGTCACACCGGCGGAGGCAGCCTCGGCGGCGGCGGCAGGGACAGCAGCTGCTGCAGGGCTCCTCGGCTGCTGCTGCAGGTGGAGGCCGCGACCGGCGAGAGGGGCAGGGCGGGCGGCGGGTCGACGAGCGGAGCAGAGGAGGGCCGCGCCGAAGGCAGGGCAGGCCGCGACAGGCGACGGGGCGGGGCCGCGAAGGGGCCGCAAAGGGCCGTGAAGGGGCCTCGAAGAGCCGCGAAGGGGGGCCGCGAAGGGCCGTGAGGGGGCCGCGAAGGGCCACGAAGGGGGCCGCGAAGGGCCGTGAGGGGGCCGCGAAGGGCCGCGAGAGGGGCCGCGAAGGGCCGAGAAGGGGCCGCGAAGGGGCCGTAAGGGGCGCGACGGGCCGCTAAGGGCAGGGCACGCGACGGGGGGGCAGGCGCACGGGGCGCAACTAAGGCAGGCGCGAAGCGCGCTCCGAGCAGGTAAGGAAAAAAAAAAAAAAAAAAAAAAATCGTAGTGGTGGGCCCTAAAAACGTTCCCACTAGGAAACTCGTTCTATACCATGTGAAATAATTACGAGGAATGAGAATGACTAGAAATGAGTTGGGTACAAATATGAAACCCTAGGAAACTGTACCCCATAGTGTCTACCCCAATACAGCCTAGCAAGACTATAGCATGAATGTTTGACAAAAGGGTGTGCACTAACATTGCCCCCAAAAACCACCCATAGGAAAGTGCACCCCTGCTTTAAGGGTGCAATGAATCGAGGTAGCGAGGATTGCACTAAGTGTCAAACGAGTACAAAATATGAGCGAAGGCATGAGCGAACATTTAAACACGAAACATGCAAACGGTAACGCGGTGCGTGCGAGCTAGCTAGTGCTACGCTGGCAGTGAGGTTCGGGCTAGTCCCGAAGCGTAGGCCGACACGGGCGGGCCAGCAGTGCGAGGTTTGGTGAAACAGTGTGCGCGAAGTCGGCAAAGCCCCGTTAGCAGTAACGGGCGAACAACGGTTGCTGCTGTATGTGATGTTGCAGGATGCGCTAAGGAATGTTGAGAAAATTCCTTACACTACCACCCCCCTCAAGAAGCCCCCTCCACTACGCGAGTGCGTGTATATCGCGGAAACCCCTGCTCCTGAGATACACTTGCAGGGCATGGTGGTTTTCGATGTTGGCCAGGGGCACCCAGCTGTCCTCAGTTGGTGTGCGGTCCTTCCAGCGAACAAGGAATTCAATCCTCATGATTCCCGTAGGGTGTCGAATCCGATGGCTCATGAGTTTTTCGGGCTCGATGATCGGCTCCGATGTAGGGCGAGTCATAGATGGCCGGCGGTGACGAGGCGGTTGGCTCGTGGTTGGGATGTATGGGCGAAGCAGGCTGACGTGGAATGATGGGCTGGTGTACCAGTCGGTCGGTAACAGTAGATGGGCGGTTACTGTTGTAATGATGTGGCTGATTTGGAATGGACCACAGTAGCGAGGTCGAAGTTTTGGTACGTCGAGCAGTCGCAGATTTTGCGTGTCAAGCAGTACGTAATCCCCTGGCTGGTATGTGACTGGGCGGCGGTGGCGGTCAGCGTTGCGCTTAGCGATGACATTTGCCTCTTTAATTGCTTCTACGGCTCTGGTTCGGGCATCCTGCAGAATCTCGGCGAATTGCTGTGCACGTGGCGCGGGGTTGTCCGGACTCGGCGTCATGGGCACTGTTGATTTTTTCCCGTAGTTCAGGTAGAACGGGGACTGTTGCGTCGTCGCTGGCGTGGCGTTGTTGTACGTGAACTCAATCAGCGGCAGCTGCTGCTCCCAAGTTGTCGGGTCGTCGCACGTGGCACGAATTAACTGCTCCATCGTCTGATTCGTCCGTTCCGTTTGACCATCGGTCTCGGGGTGGTACGACGAGCTGAACTGTAGTCTGGTCCCGAACTGCTCCCAGAGGTTCTTCCAGAAATTGCTGGTGAACTTCGTGTCTCTGTCGCTGATGATCGCTACTGGTATCCCGTGCAGGCCTACGACGGCTGCGATGAACAGGCGAGCGGTGTCCTCGGTTGAGATCGACTTTTTGCACGTAGCGAAGTGTGCCATTTTCGTCAGCCTGTCAACGACGACCATAACCGCGTCGTTACCCCCAGGCCTCGAAGGTAACCCTGTGACAAAATCCATGGTAACTTGCTGCCAGGCGCGCTCGGGTGGTGGAATCGGTTGCAACTGACCCGCCTTCCTTTTTCGCGAGCTCTTCATCACCTCACACGTGGGGCATGAGCCCGCGTGCTGCTGCACGTCGGTCAATAGCTCCGGCCAGTAGTAGTATCGCTGTAGTTGCTGTCGCGTTTTTTCTACCCCAAAATGTCTCGAGGTAATCCTGTCGTGTGCCTCCTGCAGTAGCAGCTCCCTCAGTAGTGAGTACGCGGGTACCCAGATGCGGTTGGTACCTGTCTTTACGTAATAAACTCCTTTAGCTTCTGCCAGTTGCTGTGAATTTCCGGTCGTGAAAAATGGGTCGGTACTGTATCCGTGGGTGAATAGGCCTGTTAATAGCGGGTTGGTTTGGGCGAGTAGGATGGCGTGGAGTTGGGCGGTGGGGCGGGTGAGTGATGCGCCTTTTGACGCAATGTTTGATGCGCCTTTTTTGTACGTGACGGTGTAGTGGAAGTTGGACTCCAAATAGTCCAACCAGCGGATCAGTCGCGGGTTGAGATTCGGTTGGGCGCGAAGGTACTGTAGTGATCGGTGGTCTGTTCGTACTGTCACGTCTGCTCCCGTGAGGTAACATCGCTTGAACGCGTGCACGATCGCCAGCATCTCGCGGTCATGTATCGGGTAGTTGCGCTCGGGTGGGTGAAGCTTGCGGGACTCGTACGCGATTGGCTGGATGCCGTTCCCGAAGTCCTGCAACAGTACTGCTCCTACAGCGATGTCGCTAGCGTCGGTGACGAGCTCGAACGGACTGTGCGGATCTGCGATGTGAAGCACGGGCGGCGACCACAAAATATTTTTGAGGGCCGAGAAGGCAGCTTGCTCTTTCTCCCCCCACGTGTACTCAACCCCCTTCCTCAGCTTGTCGGTCAACGGGGCAGTCAACTTCGCCATGTCGGGGACGAACCGGCGCACGTAGTTGAAGAACCCCAAGAAACTCTACAATACGGTCAAATTTGTCGGTGCGTGCCACGCTTGAATCGTTGCGATCTTCTTCGGGTCTATTTCCACTTTTTCAGCCGAAATAATGTGTCCCAAAACTCACACTTAGAAGCTTTGGTCAGTAGGCGGTTTTCACTCAGTATTTTAAAAACGGCTTCGATATCTTGTAGGTGCTGTGCTCTGTCGGGGCTGTAAATCAGTATGTCGTCGAGGTACACGATGACGCACTTATCTAAAAGCGGGCAGAATGCTTCGTTCATGGTCGGTTGAAAAGTGGCGAGGGCGTTGGTCAGTCCGAAAGGCATGATTGTATATTCGAAGGATCTGTAGCGTGTTCGAAAGGCTGTCTTGGGGCAGTCGGGTGGGTTGACTCGCATCTGGTGGTAACCCTCTCTAAGGTCGATTTCCGAGAAAACCCGGGCTGTGTGCAGTTGGTCGATCAGTTCGTCGGCTCGCGGGATGGGGTAACGAGATTTGATGGTAACCTTGTTTAGTGCTCTGTAGTCTATGCACATGCGAAAACCCCCGTCCTTTTTTGGCGTGAACAGTATCGGTGCTGCGAAGGGTGACGAAATCGGGCGAATTACCTCTTTTTCGAGCAGGTAATCCAGCTGCTTCCTCAGTTCGTCTAGTTCGGGTTGGGTCAGTCGGAACTGTCGATGTACTGTCGGCTGTGCCCCCGGTTCTAACTCTATCCTGTGGTCGTGCGGTCGCTGAGGTGGCAGTCCCGTCGGCAGGTCGTCCGGAAATATCCCACTATACTGCTTCAGGAGTGCTGCCAAATCATCCGGTACGTCGACTAGAAGTTTCTGTAAATCCCCCCCTTTGTCTGCTGCCTCGGCTTCCCGAATGTCAACCGCGTACACGTCAACTCCTGCCGCTACGGCGCGTTTTATCGTGATCGCGTTGACACGCACCGACGAAGACTCAGGCGAGCCCCAACGAGGTAAGGCGATGTTGTTACCGTTCACTCGCACGGTGCAGTCACCCGTCTTCCAGTCTATTCGCGGGTTGTGTCGTCGCAGCCAATCACGACCGGGTAAAATGTCGGTTCCGTCGAGGGTTGTCGCGAGCATTTCCTGGCTAAACGTGAAGTTACCCCCGCATCGAATCCGAACCCGGTCCACGCGTTCCCGTATCGCCAGTGGCGTGCCGTCAACCAGTATTGCGTCGATCTCAGATAAGCATCTGTCCAGTGGCTGTTTCAGCTTCCGTGCTGTGGCAGTGTTGATGAGGCTGTGGCTGGTTCCCCCGTCTACGAATTTTTTAATTAAGTCTGTCCCTATATTCCCACTGAGCAGTATGGGGCTGTCTACCGTAGTACCCTCCTTATTCGGCAGGGTGTGGTCGATTGCGTGAACCGGCACAATCACTCGGTGAGGGTCCGTTGGGTCGGGCGAGCGGCGTGACCTGTCAGTAGAGGGCCCGTCTGCTACTGACTCCCAGCATTTCCGCTGCTTGGTCTGTTTCTGCTGCTCAGCTTCCCCCTCTTCCTTAGCGTTTTCCGGACATTCGCTCTTCGGTGTCTCGGCCGATTGCACGCAAAGCAGCGCCCTTTAAACGGTGCTGCAGCGGCATTCGCGGCGACGGCACGTATCGTAGCGCTCTCGTTCGTCCCACGAGATCGATGTCCCCAGTTACTGCTTCCGTAGGACTACGGTCTCGGTCGGCGGAAAAAGTCGAGCTTCTCCGCCATGGCGAGAATCTCCATAAAATCCGTGACGCCGCGAAGCTGGATTTCCTGGGCGATATCATGCTTCAGGCCGCCGATGTAGCGGTCGATACGCTCACCCTCTTGCATATAACCCACTTGCTCGCATAGCATCAGAAACCTGCTGTTGTAATCTTTGACGGAGCCGAGTTGGCATCAAGTGCGGAGCTTCTGACGCGCCGCGATCGAAGCCGCAATTGTCTCAAATCGAGCGCGCAAACCTGCGCACCACGCGTCCCACGTGCGATCTTGGGGCACCTCCACGAAATACGACGGCGCCCAGGGTCCGGTTTGTCGTTCCCGTGTCGGTAGAGTCGCGTAGTCATTCGGCTTCGTGACGATGACACGCCACCAGTCCATGGCGGGTCCCCGCAGCAGCGACACGGCGTAACGAATCTTCGCCGTATCCTCCGAGACGTAGTTGGCGTTGA